TGTGTATTTCTTTCGGATATATCGACGGATTGCTCATGTAATTCTCCCTCCGTTATTTCGTTTACCGGAAAAAAGTTTGATTGAGTTGGAGTGACAACCTCGTCCCCACTGGGGCTCATAACCTCCGTCCCCAGTGGTAGTCCACTGCTCATTTCATTTTCTTCCGTGGGAGTAGTAACATTTTCCACTCTACTCTCACTCCCCTGGTTTTGTTTAGATATTGATCCCGTGGTAGCACCCGTGTTCTTGGGATTCGATTTTCGTTTCATTGCCTCCGTCCCACGTGGCAGCCCACTAGGTATTTGGGGAGATTTTTCTTTCGTGGGAGGGTTGTTTGGTTTCCCCCGATCAGAGATCGGCTCATGGGATGTAATCGTGGATACCCCCGGGGTAGCACCCGCGTTTTTGGGGTTAGATTTTCGTGTAGTTACCTCCGTCCTCCGTGGTGGTTTTTCTTTCGTGGGAGGAGGGTTTTGTTTCCCCCGATCAACGATCGGCTCATGGGATAAAGTCTTGGACACCCCCGGGGTAGCACCCGCGTGTTTGGGGTTCGACTTGTCTGTTTGTTTCTTGGTTTTCGAAATTGTCTTTTTCGATTTTGATGGTGTTTTGTTCCCCTTTTCATTAGCTGGGATGTCCGATAAGGACCCATCCTTAGCGGTGTTTGTTGACATCGTTTTTATTTGTGAAGAGTTGAAGTCTCGAAGAGCCGGTGAAAGATTGCGAGCGCGCCTGATAACATTGGGTTGTACTATCAACAGGCGCCGGCAAAGGAAAAAGGAAGTGTTATTGGCGCGGGGCCTTATATACTACTGACGGTCGGGGTTTCCTGCACTGACTCCGACGGAGTATGACGTCACAAAAAGACTTAGTCTGTGTTTACAGACTCTTTTTTGTGTTTTTCTCTAAGGAGAAAACCTTTGCCGGTAAATAGCGGGTAAAGTAAGGGAATAGCATTAATGGTATAGGTAAGTATGGCGTAGTCTGCCGTAGATTGGGAAATCATTATATCAGTTTGGAAATCACGGGACAACCTCGAAGATATCGGAGCAACGTCAATCATTCATGTCCATGATATTGCGCCATGTAGAAGTGGAGGACCCGCCGTAGATACTTGATTGTCAATTTGTCATGTGTTGGGAATAATGCGAAGTCGACATGCTGAGTCAATGCTGTTACGTGATCCTTATGGAATATCCTGAAAATATTCTTATTTCTGATTGAGTTATCTGAATTCAGTATAGAGGCGAGTGTACACAGCCCCGAGCTCTTTGGAAGCAGAATTATCATTAAAAATTTCTCGAATATAATGGAATATCAATGTGAAGCGAGGATTCCTACAAAGAGTCACACCCGCTTAAACTTAAATCAGCAGGACAAGTCATCGGTCCTCGTCGACAGATCTGGACATTTATTCTAACATTTCAAGATAAACTGGGACTATTTGATCATAGATCGAGGAGACTTTGATAGAGAACTCTGTTGTCCGACTGAAGACTGCACGATTCTTTTACTGAATTTTGTTTCATTGTTGAAACTGTTGCTTTGAATCTATTTTGTACATGTTATCAATTGTATATTGCATTTGCATTCTATTACCTCTCCTTATTTCTAGCCCTCGGCAACAATATGCCTCCCTTTATACCTCTCGATCCTTATAATTATCTTTCTTGTCTTGCTCCTCTCTCCATCTATTTCCCTATTGCTATGTCTTCTCTATTTTTCTGTTACATATTTCTATGATGTGATTGAGATGTTTTAAACTTTTAATCGATTTTTGTGCATATAGTTGAACCTCAATTCGTTAGCGGCCGCGTAGCCGTTTTCTTGGGAACGTATTTTTGTGTGTTAAGTTAAGCACCTCTCGTTCACTGATATCCTGTTCGGCCTGTCTTGATACCCGAAGCCGTCATATTGCTGCTAGAGGCGTGGTGTTGCGTAATCACAATGATCGCGTTTTTTTCGGATCGCGTGCGGCATTTCTGCTGACCAAGACTGGAAAAAGAAAAAAAAAAGAAATCGGACACGTGGCCGCTGGATTTGCTTCGCTACGAAATTTGGTACTGTTGAAGCGGCTTTCATTCTGCTGTTTCAGCAAGTCTTGACTAGCAAAAGATGTCAGTGTACGAGGCGGTTAATTGTCAATAATTTTACAGCATTTCAGTAGCTAGCTTTTGTTTTTGATATTTGTTGTCTTAAATATCATATATCTTTTTGCAACCTGAACGATTATGTAAATAGTTAAGTCTGCTTTGACGTTGTTTGTTTAAACATTATATTAGTTCTCCTCAACTTTTCGAAAGTTCCTTGCGTTGTATTATAGTAGCTTGTAAGGAATACTTTTAATGTCATACGTAGATTTTCGTTTTACTTTAGGAGGTCGTGACTTCATGACCCCGAATTATATGTCAAACTCACCAGAACTTTTGAAAACTAAGTTACGCTGTACCAAGCAATTAAGGCTGTACTGGTTTCTAACACAATGTTACGTATGGGTAGACAATGCCGTTTTGAGACTTACACATGTCGTATGTCAAAGAGCTAAGGCCACTTCTGCAACGTCATTTTATTTTAACCAAGTTTTCAAATTCAGACTTGATGTTTACTATCCCTCATTCGCTTCATTTACTTGATATGTCAGTTGTTTTTTTTAAAAATTCATTATGTATATTATGGTACAATCTTTTGGTTTAACATGACTGTAATTCTATTCTTTTTATCGGTCACTGAGGACAGTGACTTTTTAAGGAGAGGGGGAATAGTGTTACGAATTTAGATATGTCCGTATCATGTGCTCAGTTCATATTATTTCGCTATAATATTATTGCTTGCTGTGCAAGTCAAACTTGTCCTTCGGTAGATTTACGACGTTGTTTTTCGTCCTCGAGTAATTCTTGCAGTTCGATTGCGTAAGCCCAGGGCCACGCTCGTCTAGAGAATCTGTCCTCGTCTTACGTAACGGCAAGGACAGATACTCAGTCGCGTGCGGCCTCCGACTGACCCCGAGCGGAGGCCAGACTTTGTCCTCAGTTTGAGGACAGACTCTGCCCTTTAGCTCGAGGTCGGGTTGTGTCCTTGCTGCTACAAAACAGCTCCCTATATAAAGCCAGGGATTCTAAAATCTCGAGAGTTCGGACTTCAGACTTCTAGCTTAGACAGAGTTCGGACTTCAGACTTCTAGCTTAGACAGAGTTCGGACTGACTTCTTGAGACTTCTCCTCGTACTCCTTTCTGCCGTTTTTCGTAATTCACTGAACCTGACTGTATACCAAGTTGTCATTATTTGAAGTAATAAACATCGAATGGAACTGAAACTCACGAATACTCAATTTCTTCTGTTGAATTTATATTGCATACACGCATGAGCTCGAGTGAGAGAGATATTGAGCGAGAACTGAACGAGAGCAGTCTGATGTAGTGACGGAGCGGAATATAACTTACTGGGCCTAAATCTTAACTATAATTACATGAAAGACTATAATAAGGATTTATCCTACCATAGGCTGTATACTATACTGCTTGAAGTCTGTCTCAAGAAGCGCTTGAAGTGTTGCTCGTTGAGTGGAGCTCCACCGTCGCTAGTAGTAGTAGACCGAAGAGACAGAAGAGACGGGCAATCAACAGTGTTTGTCGCGTGCAGTCTCAGGTTCAATCTAACGTTCCCAGTGATAAGCACGCCCGCGGAAACTACCGCGGGTGTCGCCTAATGCGGGACTTACGCGCATATGCCGCCAGAGCCGTAGTGGCTCAGGCTGAATCACTACATTATTCCCCACTTAATGAGTTTGAAGCCTACTTCTAACTAAAACTAAACTAAAACTAACTTAAAACTACTCCCGTACCGCAGTGCGGGGTCACGCCGTTCCCGCTGGTGGATGGGTCAAGGACCCTCCTTGCCAGCACCAGTGAAGTCTTGGTCTTTCCAGGGGGCGGGCGCCTTTATCATACCTTACAACGTACTGTATTCCAAACTTTGGTACGGGAAATATTATTTAAAGTACAGGTAAAATGCACTGTAAAATGTAAAATGCACTGTATTCCACAATTTGGTATATTTAAGTACTAAATAGGATTCAAGTCCCGGAAATGTCCCAGGGATCAAGAACAGAAAGAAACAGAAATATACCAGTTAACCCTTACCGTGCCGGTGTCACGTGTAAATGACAAAGAATAGCAGTCCTGGCACGGGCGTAAGGGATTAACCGGGGCATTACAGGCATAAAGAAACAGAAATATACCAGTTAACCCTTACCGTGCCGGTTATACATATTACATAATGACAAATTGCAAAACGTCCTGGCACAGGCATAAGGGATTAACCGGGGCATTACATTAAATTCCCAAGGTGACCGAGCATGAAAGTGTGAGTGATCAACATAAACGATGAATGGCAATAAGTGTGCAGAAAAGGGGAAGAGCCCAATGGCTCCCCATTCCCCAAGTGCAGTTTGGATGGTATAATGTCCAGAAACTGGGCAATCACACATGAGAGCCAAACGGCTCCCTACAGGCAGTCCAAACGGTGCATACAAGAAGTATTAGAATGATAAAAGCAGATCACTGAAATCAGATGGAAAATGATATAGAAGGTGAAAACACTTCAACAAAATAAGATTACATTTTCTGGGCCACTCGGCACCCGGGGGCACAATAGCCACTACCGGCAAGTTCCTGATATCATTCAGGGCACCCAGGCCCACAACACCATCAAGCAAATCCAAAAGGCTCTTATTGATCCAGAGGAATTACTCCAAAGGAATTACTCCCCCAAAACATGATCATATTCTGACTTATTATTGGAACCACGTAGTGTCACTTGGGAGATATCAAAAGCCGGCCGTTTTATGGCCTCGAACACACATGGGTGCTCTGTCTCCCTGTGAAAAGAATGTTTCCTAGTCAGCTCTTAAAGCGGAGCAGCTAATTCAGCATAGATAACTCTGCTAACCGAAGCAGAAACTTAAAATTAAACAGTGTAAACAAAAGTGAACTAAAATATATATATTTAAGACAAACATGTTATTTCCCAGGAACAGGAACCGGCACCATGTCCTCGCGGACGAGCTGTTGTGAATGGCTTTGATAATGAACCATAATATATATACTTAACATGTTATTTCCCCCGATCAAACACGATCCGAGGAATCCAAAATGGGAGCCTGTGGGTGGGCTGGAAAAGGGAAAGGTCCTTACTCTGGAGCCCTGGACTCCCAACAACCTTACATCCTACCCGCTTCCCACTAGAAGGAGGCACCACGGCCGTCCTAGCGACTACCTGGACAAAGGGACCGACCGAAGAGTCAGGCGGGTCACTAACATTATTTACCTTGACAAAGGGACCGACCGAAGAGTCAGGCGGGTCACTAACATTAACTACCTTGTCCAAGGGACCGACCGAAGAGTCAGGCGGGTCACTAACATTAACTACCTTGTCCAAGGGACCGACCGAAGAGTCCGGCGGGTCACTAACTACATTAACTACCCCAGTATTTACCGATTGTAGGCCTCTCGGTTTCCAGATCGGAGATCGGCCTCGCTCTCCGATCCCTCCAGGTTTTCCGGAACACCAGTAGCCACGGGAGATAGAGGGCGGGCATTGGAAAGCATAGAAAACTCCAAAGACTTAACAGTCTTCAGTATTTCTTCTAGCATACAATCGGTATTGTACGCATGCGTCTTAAGACTGGCGACTTCCTCTTTTAAATAGCCAATGTCATTCCTGGCCTGAACTTCAAAAGGCGTTGTGACCTTCCCCCGGTCCTCCACGGGAGCCGGACGGGGAACATCTTGACCTTTGGAAACTGTTGGGGAACGATTTAGGGGATGGGGTTGCCTATGATGATAAATTACCGTATCATACCTGTCCACCTCCTGATCGTACATGCAAGTCTGCTGCACCTGCTGCCGAGAAGCCGAATACGTACGGCGAGCCTCGCTCCCATAAACAACACGTTGGGTATGTTGCGCCCACCTGATGGCTTCCAGGGCCTCCTCGACGGACTTCGGGCGCGTATTGAGAGCTGTTAAACCCGCCGCCTTATCCGTACAACCCTGGCATAACTGCAATACCATTTGAGTGCTGTCACCCCGTTGGTCCCACCCAAAAGCTTCAAAGGACAAAGCTTGGAGCCGATCGGACCACCCAAGAAGAGACTCCTCCGGGAGTTGGCGAGCCGTTCGAAATTCGGCTATGGCCTCCTCCGGAAATCGGGTAGCCCCAAACCGACGCCCCATCGCTGTTAACATATGGTAATAAGAATTAGTGCCCATATCCCTAAGGTTCGAAAAACAATCTGAGGCCGACCCCTCCAAACACCAGCCTAGCGCATCCAAACACTCGCTTGGACTCCACTGACACGATACAGCATAACTGGTGAACTTCCTGAGAAAGGAATGCCAACTTGTTCGCCCATCGTAATTAAGTGACCTCGGCAGACGGGGGGGCCAATCCCGGCGCCCCTGCGACCGGTACTCTCCCTGACCCCCAGGTGAGGATTCCCTGGGAGGATACTGAATGTCAGGTCGGGATTCCCCAGAAGGGGGATATACATAATCCCTACGTGGGGGTTCCCTGGAAGGCGGACCACAATTACTAGAAGGGGATTCTCTAGACGGGGGATAATAATAATCCCTACGGGGGGGTTCCCTGGAAGATGGACCATGATTATTAGGAGGGAAATCCCTAGGAGAGGGATAATCCCTACGTGGGGGTTCCCTGGAGGGTACACTGCTATCATCCCTAAGCCGATAGTCGGCGGAGGGCCTGGCTGGGGAGGGCGCAGACCCGGATATAGGCCCAGCTGGGCCTTCACCCGAAAATGGGGGGTACACTGTATGCCCATAAGGAACGGGACCCGGACTCTGGACAGACTGGGTTTGTGCAGTCAAGGTTTGCCCAGTCCCCTCCCCCACCCCCTGTGCCTGCTCAGCCTGATCCACCCGATAAGGCTCAAAATCAAATAAATGTACCAGCTCCTTGGCTTCATGGAGACGGGGACACTGCAAAAATAACTCCTCAGTTAAACTCCCACATTGCTCCCTCCAACTAAAAATCTTGTGGGACTTAGTTCTATCCACAACGGCCAGTAAAGTCTCCTCAGTCCCATAATTCACTTTAACCCTCTCCGAGGTCATAACCGGCTTCAAATCAGCAACGATTATATAACCAAACGATAAAATTAAATACACATACAATCTTTCCTTCTTGCTTACTTAATAATACCCTACTTAGTTTCCTAATAGCTTACTAAGTGCCTGACAGGTAAATACTGAAACCCTAAACCTCACCGAAAAAACACCGCGGAATTATCTCCACGGTGAACAGCTTCAGCGAGCGGGCCAAAACTAAACCCTACTGAGTAACACTAAAGGACTACACTTAAACCGGCAATATACCTCACCGAAAAACACCGTGGAACTATCTCCACGGTATAATGCTCGGCGAGATGGCCGTACAATATTAGTAATGATGAAATGAAGGTGAAATTAAATACCACCCACGATTTAACCCAAAATCCACAGATATACAAAACAATACTGACAGTCAAAAATCCCACTTAGGTACCTACCCAATCCTTCTTTCTTGCTTACTTACTAACGTACGAAGTTCCTTCAAGGAAAATACTTCTTGCTTAAACTACTTAGTTTCTTAAAGGAAATACTTGCTCACTTACTTAGTTTCTTACTTAGTTTCTTACAGGAAAGACCTATTGCCTACTTAAAAAGTAAGAACTTACTTAATTTCTTTCCAAAATCTTACTTAGTTTCTTTCATAATCTTACTTAGTTTCGTACTAAAAAATTCCTACTTAAACAACCCTATACCCATAGTATACCTCACCGAAAAAACACCGCGGAATTATCTCCACGGTAATAATACTTCGGCGAGAGGGTTGAAACTAATTTAATTATACTCCTACTCACTAATTCTACTCCTACTTAAACAACCCTATACCCATAGTATACCTCACCGAAAAAACACCGTGGAATTATCTCCACGGTAATAATACTTCGGCAAGAGGGTTGAAACTAGTCTAAATAGAGCCTACCCCTACTTACTAAGTTCTACTTAACCGACCCTATACCTCACCGAAAAAGAACACCGTGGAATTATCTCCACAGTATAAAACTCTGGCGAGAGGATCAAAACTACGAGCACGACAAAAAACGGCTGTACAACTAGTCTAGTGAGTAGAAAAAAAACGAGCAAATTTAAGTACAAAAACTGACCGAAACCGATGTCAAAATCGAAATACGGCCGTAAAAATACCAACGAGTCCCTAAAAAACTATCCTACAACCCTAAGTAGACAAAAAATGAAAAAATATGAGCAATATAAGGCCCTACGAAAAAAGTTCCAAAAATAAAAAATCCCTTCAACACACGAGTCAACGTATCCAAGATGGCGGCTCGGACATGTGTGCGACCACAAAAAATTATCCCCAAAACACCGAAATGAGTACCCAAAAATCGGAATACAGCACTGAAAATACTCTACGAGTCCCTAAAATACTAATCTACAGCACTAATCAACTACCAATAGGGAATAAACAAGCTTACAAGGCCCTACGAATGAAATTACAAAAATAGAAAATCCCTTCAACACACGAGTGAATACCGACAAAGATGGCGGCTCAAAAACGTGCGCGATAAAAAAAACTAGCCCGAACAGGTTCGGATAAAAAATTAGCGATTACGCCATTGTAGTGACGGAGCGGAATATAACTTACTGGGCCTAAATCTTAACTATAATTACATGAAAGACTATAATAAGGATTTATCCTACCATAGGCTGTATACTATACTGCTTGAAGTCTGTCTCAAGAAGCGCTTGAAGTGTTGCTCGTTGAGTGGAGCTCCACCGTCGCTAGTAGTAGTAGACCGAAGAGACAGAAGAGACGGGCAATCAACAGTGTTTGTCGCGTGCAGTCTCAGGTTCAATCTAACGTTCCCAGTGATAAGCACGCCCGCGGAAACTACCGCGGGTGTCGCCTAATGCGGGACTTACGCGCATATGCCGCCAGAGCCGTAGTGGCTCAGGCTGAATCACTACACTGAATTAAACACTTGTAATCAAATTTCGTTACACTATCAATAGGCCTGTATTCACCTGTATTCAGTGAATACAGGCCAAGTGATTTATTCACCTGTCTTTTCGGGCTCCTTAGTAAGACAATGTCTTGTTATGTCTTTATCAGCTCGAGTCTGCCAAATAACCCGCTGTTTTCAGAATCAGGATAATATCCCGAAGCTCGAAATTGCGTCTTCATCAGACCGATACGTGCATCACATTACACTATTTCCCAAATAGCAGGATATTTTGGAAACAAGATGATCTAACATTTCTCAGGATATTTTCTCAACCAAATATCCCGCTTATTGCAACTGCGGGCTGATGAAGACACAAATTTTGTTTTTGTTTAGGCCTAGATCTAGGGCCTACATCCATTTATTCAGGGCTGTCAACTTTGGGGAACTACTTTGAGGGAAGTTGTAAGGAAAATGTTTGTTTTGCTCAACGGCAGTGGTGTAGGTCTAGGCCTACACAGGATTTGTTTAAAATTTTAAAATCATGCTGAAAATTTCGCAGCGACTCAGCCAGCCGCTGAATAAATGGGGGGGGGGGGGGGTAAGGGCACAGCATCAGGAGCATGATGTCTCCAAATGCCTCTGTTCAGCGCCTGTTCTTTTTTTATTTTAATTTTAATTTTACTTTAGAGTCTAGGCCTACTACTACTAGACCTACTACTAGTAGGGTGTCTGAACGATTTTTCAAATTTCAATTTGGGATCGTTTTTCACCATTTTTGTTTGATATTTGAATAAAAAATGTTATCAGAATAATACATTTCAAATTTCAAGTCTCACCGATGTTTCTATCAAAAGTTACAGCCCCTCCAACACGCTGGTATATTCATATCATTTTGGTCAAAATCGTCGAAAAAGACGTCCACGCAGAGTGATGTTGTTTTGCTAAATTTAGCCAAACAGCTGTATCGCGCGATATGCAAGCGTATGCATATCGTACGCATGCTGCTAAGCCAATCCGCGACTTGCAGCTTGAGCTACGCTGTCTCCGCGACATGTGCGATTGACTAGTATGGTTGGCAATCGTCGCACAATAAACCCGGAAGTGAATGCACGTTATAGTCAATGGCAATATCGCGGAGACAACGCACGTTGTCTCCGCGATATTGCCATTGACTATAACGTGTATTCACTTCCGGGTTTATCGAGGGAATTTCCAACCATAATTTCAGTCACTATAATGTGTAATTGAATTTGGGGTTTCGTTCGTGCGCGGAGATGTTACGCGATGTAACCAGGGAGGTGAGACTATGGAGATTGCGTCTCGAAAGAATTTCCCGAGGGAAAGATATTCAAGATTAACTTGGCTTAACAACAAGTAATGTAACCCTCTTCAGCCATCAAATCCATCAACAGCCGCCCTTATCAGACCACAGATGCCCTCTGGCGATCCAAATGTTACGAAGTGTTACGCAACGCGGCCTGCTTCCCTAAGCTCTCCAAACACTTGGTCGTAAAAAAAAGGCTTTGAAGCCATGCGAGTCACCGAGAAAATGACGTCATACTCATTGAAGATGTATATAGCTATAACAGACAAAAATACAAAATCGACAACTTATGGCACAAGGCAACCTGCTATTGGTTATCAAATGCTTTCGCTGTGCTCGGATAACTCTTCTGAAGACGTAGCCATCTGAACCAGCGAAATCGACCAAGGAAATCGTGAGTTAGAGTGAATGCAAGTTTCTCATCATCATCACGTTCTCTTCTAATTATTGACATTTTCCGAAAGTTTCCGAAATTTTTACATAGCTAGGAAGGTAGTCCATAAGTTTATCTCTTAAAATAACTAAATGAAACTGTGTTGTATAATTGCGCATTTGGTTTAATGAGGGTTAGAAGTTGTCAATTCATCACCACTTTTCACCCCGAGTACGGGCCGGCGCCGGCGACGCGAAAGCCGCCGTGCTCGCTGGGCTGTACATGCTGGATGTTGTTGGTGGAAACACACATAGCTGCATTTCTACCCTGGCCGTGTATTGAAAGTTGTGCTATTGATTCTCAACATTTCAAACACCACTGTACAAAACTCAACTGATTTCATTCAAAGGCAGTACTATAGTGATGATTGATGACACCTAAAGAGCATTAAAATACAATTTGTTCAACTTTCTGATGTTAGAAAGAATAAGTTAAAAATTAAAATTGTGAGTCTACTGTCAAACTTGCCGATCAACCGCATCGGGATGATTATGTGCATTTGTACTGTATGTTGTGAGTGTATTGACTATTCATGTATTCAAATGCTGCCTATTTACATGGAGCGGCCTACGCATTCACGATGAAACCATTTAACCGTACATTCTGGTTCGCTGCAACGAATAAGATTTTCCGTTGATGGAATTTCACACGTGCATAACTTGTATTGGTCTCCAACTTCCCATACACCAGGCTCAAGAAAATCTTCCTCAAAATCAGTCAGAAAGTCTAAATCGTCGCCTACCAAATACTCTTCCCTACTGTACGCCGCCATTTTTGTCGATAGCAGCCGATGTGTATTTCCAACAATGCATTTCGCGAGCCCTATGTCACTCAGTTTCGGGAGTGAGATTTACGAGCTGTGCGGTCCGGGTGGGGGATTAACGGGATTATGATAGGGGGAAAAAAGACCCTCGGTGCAACGGACTGCTTCAAAGGGCCCTCTTAGATGCGGAATCCATTTATTACAAGCCCTGATGTAACCATGGTTTGGACTGAGCGGAGCGCACGCCCCCTAATTAGCTGATCCACCAAATAGCGAGAAGGGTATTTTTAAACTGTTATCAGTTGTGATCCCTGGGGGCTAGCGAAAATATAATCACATAGAATTGTTCCTTAGGACTGGGACTACTTATCGATCGGGGCGTCATATCTCAAAAGTGACAAACCTCAGAGTTAGCCAGGACACAATGTTTAAATTGCTGTTTTGACCAAGATATTTTTAGAATTTCGGGGGCTACGCCCCTTTGGAAATATTGGAATTCACCTGCTCTTTCATATGATACCTCATTCATTGATTATCACCTTCAGGATCACAACTGATAAAGGTTTGAATCTCGATTTGAAAAAAAAAAATTGACTTTTTTTGCATGGTCGCGCAATGCACGTAGGCTGCATAGGGATGCGTGTAATCTCTATGGGAAGAATTTTAGCACACAACATCGGGTGCGCGATCAGACACCCTACTACTAGAGTCTAGAGTCTAGACCCTAGATTGTGTTAGTTAAATTGTAGTTTATTTACCTTTCTCACAGACTGCTTTTCTCCACACATCTTGCATTGCCATTTTGGCTTCTTCCCCACTTGATGGACTTGAAATACTAGACATGCGAAACATCGTATAACATGAAATTCTTGAGGCATTTTTCAAGAAGTGGTCGTCGTCGCGTCGATTGGAAAAGCGTCACCGTATGTGCATGTGCACATTTTAGCTGTGCGCTGTCAATGCTGTTTCATGCTGAACCAGCATAATCATCAGGTAGCGCAGCCGCATGGGAGATATGCATTCAAAGTACCCGGTACCTGGATGCATGGCTTCACTTCAGCGCGCGCCTATATAAAGGTAGTCTTAATTTCCGGTTGTCAAAATATCAATGTGTTTAAAAATATCTAAACATTCAAAATATTAGGTTATTATTCATAATCGAATATATTTTACTTATTTTTTCGACTCAAAAAATAATATCTGTATGCAACGAATCATATCATTCATGTGAAAACTTAAATGTGTGGATTCATTTTTACATTGAATCGTATTTATATATTATTCAGGACTGCATTAAAAGACTATGCATATTTACATATGTATAGAACGCCGCATGCGCTGAACTTTAATGAAGTTTTCATTTTAGTTGAAACAAATTGGGGGAGAATATCGGCCGCCCCCACCCCTCCCTTTGGAACTTAATTCAACTTAGACCTCACCGAGTGCTTTGAACAGTGGCGGATCCAAGGGGGCCAGGGGGCCCACCCCCCCCCCCTGGGGAAAAAACGTGTGAAAACACATTAATTTTAACTTTTGGGGGGAGATGGGACCCCCCCCCACCCCCTGACGCTCAAGGGGGGTGCGATTTTTCGAATTGTCGAGGCCCCCCCCCCCCCCCCACAAAAAAAAAATAGTGCTCAATTTAAAAATTCAATGTACAACACAATAAACAATCAAAATATGAATGACTGAAACGTACGACCATAAATCATGAATAATGAAACAAAATGAAAATCAAATATTACATCAAAATCTAAATATTAACATCAAATTCTGTTCTGTAATGGGCGAAAATGAATTCAGACAAGGAGTAATAATCTATTGAAACGTCAAAGCTTCCGCGCTTCGCACGGGAGGGGCGAAATTTTGGATTAAGAGTCGAGAACGGTACAACGGGTCGTCTTCTTTCTCTAATAATTTAATGAAGTGTCAAAGCTTCCGTGCTTCACGCGGGAGGGGAAAAACTGAAAAATAACTTAGTTCCTGGCCCCGGGTTTATAGGGTTAAATTTGTAGACATTGGGACATATGTGTCGTTAATTGGTGGCTAGTTTGTAGGTAATCGGTGGCCTCTCATACCCCCTCCCCCCACTGAAAAAGGTATAGCGACGCCCCTGATAACAACATTACACTTGAGATAATTTTTGCAAGTACTACTGGTGAAATACCGGACCACCGTCTTTGTGCATTGTGCAACAACGAAGCATGTAATTACAACCACGTCTCACGACATGACATATCACTAATTCTCTAACTTCTAACCAATCAGAAAGCCTCGTTTTTTTTTCCACTATCTGGATCGGGACATACTTTTTCCATGTTTTCTTATGTTACCCTACTTGTTATCGTCAGTCTCGTTGGCTTTCGGTCTACTGGGATAACCCCATGCCACAAGTTCACCGATGCGCTTGAATCGTCGGGGGGGGGGGGGGGGGGGGGGGGGCGGTTAGGAGGAATCACAGCTTTAAGGCAATTATTTTGACCGTTTTACTTCTTTAAGCGTTCTTGGAAAGGACTGGGGATAGCACCCCCCCCCCCCCGCTCCCCGACACAAACACATTTCCAACCAAGCAAAGAATAGTGTGTTTCCGTTTAAGTTTGGATTTTATGAATATTTATCCAAATATTTTCTGCTCGGCTGCAAATATAATGCGGCCACTTATAGCAGTTATGAAACCAAACTTTAAAAATAAAGAGAAGGGGCAATGGGGTTCTATCACGTATATTGAATTCAATGTGAAATGTACCAAACCATAAATCAGTAGATGATGATATGCTTAATTTTTAAATTGAATATGTCACTGTTAGTTCAACATGGAATGTAGCCCCGAAATGTTGGTCAGTCGCTGAGGCTGTAGCGTATGACACGTTCATAATGAACAAAATAATTTGATATCAACATGAAAACAACAATATTTCCAAAGAAAGGAAAACCTGCCATCGTTCATTCAGTATAGACATAAAGTGAACGTCTTGTAATCGCGGGTCCAGGAGGGTGATCGGCCTCCCCCTTTGCCGCCCGGCACCCCGGACCCACGCCCCCCCCCACACACACACACACAAAGAGAGGGGGAGAGCGACGGAAGAAAAAAAGGAGAAGAAGGTAAAAGATCAAAAGATAGGAAAGTAAGAGAAGAGAAATTAAAATACCCCCCCCCCCCGAGTCCATGAATTGCTGATCGGGGGGGGGGGGAGGGGCGGTTACTGATCGAGAGCCTCTCAAGGCGAGAAGATTAGCCATGCATTGAAATTATACAACTGATTCATGCTCAAGAGATTTGGTGGTGAGAGGGAAGGGGGAGGGGTAGGCGCCCCTATTCGCAGCCTGGTAAAATTGTCAAATTTAGATTTTTAATAACGAAAGTGCACACGTTTAAGTAGGATTACGCTTATATGCCTGTTCTAGAGACCCTCCTTCAAAATAATGGAATAGAATTACAGGCCTATAATGTTTCCCCTTGTAATTGTGAGAAAATGAAAAAGGGCTGTAGCTATGTGTAATGTTTGATAATACACGTGTATGAATTAAGTCGCACAATCGGCATTCCATAGTTGTTACAAAGAATCACGTCACAAGTTGTTTACAAACAACCGAGCTACATGTTTCGTCTGTTGAACCACTCCAGCAGAGCATAGAGAGTCAATGCTAATGCGTGTTTAACCACGGTCGACATCTAGGTCTACCTCACTTTTTACATATAGAAGACAACTTAGACATTTAGAATAGTATACAATTAGAAATCATGACAAAACCAGACTTCGGTGAACCTGATAACATGGAAGAAAGTAATGATATGGTATGTACGCAACTACTCTTACTCTTAATTATATAATATAATCGGTCGCGGTCCCATACACTTTACGTGGTGTATGTACATGTAGTGACACAACTCCGAGGCTAGCAGAAATTGCATAGACATATGATATATTAGTACAGACCCTAATGCCAGCCGTGTAAAGAAGCGGGTCTGATCACATCAGCTAAGACTAGAAGTGGTCAATGGTCATAAGGTATAGACCCCCTACGCAAACCACATCGTGAACCACATGTCAGACCAGGCTGAGCAGTGCATGCAGTGAAGGGTTAAGGAAAGACGATAACGTTTTAATTAGGGTAGCGCGCCCGGTATTCGGTCAATTCCCAGTATTCGGTCAGACAGCTGTTTCAACAGTTGTAACAATTTAAAAAATAATTTATGAGCCACAAAACTTGCACAAATCAGAAAGCTGAACAACTTCTCTTAAGGTTATCCTATACTTTAGTGTGTTTTATTATTTTGGGTTTCTAACTTCAGTTTAACCCTAACCCTAACCCTATGATATGCACGTAGAGCTGTTAACTGAAGTTAGAAACCCAAAATAATAAAACACACTAAAGTATAGGATTGCCTCTCTTAACTCTCAAGATTAAATAAGGTAGAGTAGAGTCTCCGGTTTGCGGCATCGCCCGGTTTGCGGCCAGGGGTATTTGTTTCAAAAATAAAATGAATATGACTCGATAATAATCATTGAAACCTACCGTGGATTCCACGGTAAGTTCTGCTTTGCCGAAAATGTCCGTAGCAGGTGCTCCTATCGGTACGGAGTATCCGTCAGCGATGTCGGAAATCTACGGCACCAGTCGCCGATGAAAATTCCAGCAGGTGCTAACTTTTAAGTTAAGAGATCGAGGCATGACTAGATCAATATTGTAGCTCTATTTGTCCGATATTTGTCCGATTGGAGGTGAAATTTGATGTTTTTGTGGAAGTATGATGGCTGTGGTCTGTCTCCTATCACAGATATTTTGATTGTGCCACCGCATGGCTAGTTGCATGGGGTGACCGCAAACCGGCACGTAATTACGTGTTTTTCTGGTTTGCGGCGGGGGGTGTTAATACACACATAACATGCGGGATCGTGTATGATGGTACGTGTGCTGATGTGTGTACCCCCTATGACCCGATAGTTTCTAGTAGTACGTACCCCCGTATGGGATGATCCATTCGAGGAAAAGGTGAAATTGTTTAAAACTTCACAAATTTACCGTAGCAACAGATAAACATGAGAATTTGGGTTACCCGTAGTAATTTGGTACATGCTTTCATCGTGACGTAGCGCATAAAGCTTTGTGACGTACGCGTGCCGCAAACCGGTACTGCGTGCCCGCAAACCGGGGAACTCGAAGCATTTCGAAACATGGTCAATGCTGACCACGCTGTGGGTCAGTTTGGTTATTTGTGACTTCTATTTAATAAGTAAGTATATGGACTCTTTATTGAGGGTATTGAAGTATTCTGTGAGTATTCCAATAAAAATAGAATCGGCAGTTCCCGCCGATCGGCCGCAGACCGGAGCCACTACTCTATAGGGCCCCGGAAAGATCTCCAACTTGACTCAAAATTGGTCAGTGTTGCACAACTTTCTGCACTTCCAGGCTCTGTTAGCACATGCGCTAACATGCATAGCCATATGTAGAAATCTATTGCGAAACACACATGTGTGCTGTCGCAATGAATTTAGTATGTGTGTGAAGAGGAGCTCTTCCGTGTTCGCTCCATCGCAGCGAAATTGCAAATGACGCCCTTGCCGATGTGCAAGAGGTATTTATTGTATTCGGTAGACCAGTATTCGGTCAACGCATTGACATTCAGTGCTTTGTCGCGCAAATGTGTGAAAATAATGCGCAAATACGCTTCGCTCCCTGACAACGGAGATACCACGCACAAATCGTGTGACCGAATTCTATTCGGCGCGACCAAATTCTGGGCAGAAAAATGTTCTTCAGAATTATTTTGCTTATCATCATTCTATATTTTAAGTGACTATGAAATCCTGTTAGAGGAATAATTTTCTTTTCTTTTGATGGTTAGATTGCCAAATAAAAGAGGTAAGAATTCAAAATATTAGCGATTTCCCCTTAAGTGACCGAATACCCGGCGCGCTACCCTACTCATTTCTCAATCATATGTTAGAACTAGTTTTGAGTGGGGCCGGGGAAGACAATGAAGGATCGTTCGCATTTTTGCCAACGATTCTGATTTCCAATTTCCAATTATTTTCTTGATGCATTTTACATTGACTTCGTACAGAAACTTTCACATTATGAGCAATAAATCCTCGGAAGACAGACAACCCATGAATGTAGACTGTGAACTGGGGGTATTTTATTACGCGGAATCCGTTTTTTGCATCGCCAGCTCGTGGAATCGGGAACCTGAAACCTGCAGAGCAAAAATGCGGACGATACTTATTTTTTAGGGCGCATTTTATCCGCGTATACAAGGATATCCTCATGATATCCTAGCCATTTTTTTAACCCTGCCAACTTCTTACAGTAAAAGATTCAATATGATGGTACTGTGGCATTGTGGCGTGCAAGCATTTCATATTTTTTCTATATTTTATTTACTCTTGTGGGGAATATCACTTCGTGTATTGGCATAGAAAAAAACTGGGAATTAATCAGTGACCATTTTAGTTTAACAAGTATAGATCAACTCCAACTAGACTAGAGAAAATTCACAACACATCTATTCTGTAAAATCCTTTGTTTGGATATTTTATGACATGCAGGCAAGTTCGAAACCAGGAAGGAGTAGTAGCAGACTTAGGAGAGTGCAATCCAGTGGGGGAAAGAGAGGAAGGAGGCCCTCTAGAGTTGATCGTGATGCCAAGTTAGAGAGGAGTAGACAAAGTGCCAGAGAATGTCGTGCAAGGAAGAAGCAGAAGTACCAGTTGCTAGAAGAGACAGTTGCAGAGAAGGAGAAAAAGATTGTAGTGCTTAGGGAAAAACTTGAAAAGGTATTAACATGCTCTTATTGAGGTTCATACGTTGCTAGTACTTCACTATTTGTTCAATAAATGTAATTTGATTATTGTTCTTGACTTTCTGACATTTAAAGGGCAAATTGACTATGGCAAATATAATTTCCAGGGGAGATAAATGATTACTTGTAAATCTTCTGGATTTGAATTTTCCTTTAAAACTTATTGATTGCCTATGTAATTCTGAAGGAAACATTTTCGTCCTGTGGGTAGCTTAGTCCCCTATATTCTTATGCTGTAACTAATATCCAATAAGATTAAACTCTGCATGTCAGGTTTTTATTTCATTACTTATTTGAAATTTTTTTAAATTTGTATTTAGTCATCGAATTATGAAATCATATTGTTAAGTAATGTTACTTCAACAGCAAAAACATTCCAAAAAAATATATATATAAACAAACATTTGTACATTCATTATGGAAAACTTGTCTGACAAAATTTCTATGTGTGATATATGATAATAAGCTTTGTAAGACAGTTAGAACTTAAACTACTCTTTGATAAGAAACAGTTATTTTAGGAGCTTTCATCTATTCCCCTGTACTTTTTCCTGCAGAATTCCTTATATTAATTTACACATCATTATTCTGCCGTCATTATTTCAGTACAAGAACTTTTGTCAGCTGATGGACAATGGAGAGATTCCAGTAGATATTCATCGGAGCCTGCAGGCAGATGAAGCTCTAGCTGTCAAGGAAGCAGAGGCAGCGATGCGACCGAGCACATCCAAGAGCACTCGCCCCCAGCCAGTGTTAGCGACCGGGGTAGATTCCAGCAGTGAGGAAGATTCAGACTGATATTCTTTAAAGGCATCGTCTAACAATGTAAATCTGAGATGCATGGCCCTACGTGTTATCAGTGTCTGTGATATGGTGTAATATTGAAGCCCTAAAAAGAAAAAATCGCATTTCAAAATGATGTGAAGTGCCTCAAGAAAGTAAAAAATCTTTGATGGACCGATTTTACCATACTCGTTTTCCCCAATAGACTGTAGTGTTATGAAAACGCAAAATTTGGTTTTGGTTTTCAATCATAAATATCTTGATAATCAGACAGGTGATTGGCTTGTAAAAGTCATGGGGTTCCTGACTGACCTACAGGTTTTTAATTATCATTGCAGCATGGCCTAAATCCAGGATTTTGTTTCAGAATCTGAGACAAAGTTACCGGATCCCTTTAATGAAGCCTTGTATTTCTTTCTCTTGTACCCTAATAGGGTGCTTGCTTGATATTGTTGCAAATGCCTGAAAACAAGTCATGCAGAGTCAACTTGGCTGATTTTCATACAAGAAGCCAAGAAGGATTTTCAAGTGATGCTAAAAATTGTCAGAAATGGTGATCTGAATGCGACCATCAAAGAAAATACAGATCGACATGTGAGAATAAGGGGGGGGGGGGGGTGAGTATATATATATATATATATTTTTTTTTTACATATATACAGTTAACTAAATTATTAATACCACTTGTAAATTTGATGTTTTTTGTGTTTTGTGTAACTCAAGAATGAAAGGCGGACTGGTTGAATAAGGGCTTTGTTGAATACTTTTAGATAATAAACTTTTAGATGCTGCTTATAAGTATCGGCTTGCATGGTGATGTAGATATACAGTAGGCTTGCGGGTACATTTATTCTCCCGGTATTTTTCCCTGCAAAATTCCACACATTAAATTACACATCATTATTCTGCCATCATCCTCTCCAACCGGCGCTATAGTTCTCCTTAGAATAAGCTAAGAAAGATAACTAACAATCTTTTTCAAGACTACACCAACAGTCCTTTTCAGGACTACACACACTCAAGAAAGATTACCGAGAGTCCTTTTCAGGACTCTCCAATCCTCCCTCTCTCTCTCACATGGTGCAACCGCAAGCCTACTGTACAAAAAAACTTTTAATATGTCATATTCTCAAGAAACTTATTGCAACAAATCAATTTCTCACCTACTTAAAATATTGCAAAAATAACTACCGGTATAATATATATGTATATGTAGATGGATGGCATGAATTCTTCCAGACAAGATAATACGCCAACGGTGGTCTGTACTATACTGGAAGAAGAAGGAGAAGAAATATTATTACTTCAATAAGTGCAACAGGAAATCTTTTGATAGCATAAATCTCAAGGAATTGTGAATAACTCTCAAGGATATTCAGTTCTACATTAAAATCGAGCATTACTAGCTGTAATCAAAATGATCTTAGGTTCTGATGTTTGTAGAATTTTTGGGCTACTCTAGATTAGGCATTTAAAAAAAAAAAAGTTGTATTGCCCTTTGTGACGGACCCAATAATCTTAAAATCTACAGTCTGCTGTTATATGTTTAAATGGGATAAATGTATAAAATCATCAAATTATTCCCAAATTCTCACTCGTCTTCTGACCTAGTTTCAAAATCCTGCTAGCGTAAACAAGTAGACCCGGCCTTGTGTACATATATATACAATGCACTGCACCAGCTAGAAAACAGCAAGATTTGGGCAACGTACTCGGCTTTGATTTATTAGGGCGAAGGACGCTGCTTTGAGGGGCAGACAAAAAAAGAAAAAAGAAATATAACCAACCAACCAAGGTTCTAGCACTTAAAGGGCAAAACATCTTTTTTTTTGCGTCTAGGGCTGTATTAGGCAGGTTTCTTAGGCCAATGTTTTGTTTTAGTTATGGAGACATACCGGTAGTGGTGAAAAGCAACAAATATTCTACAGGTAGTTGTCAGGCCCAGAGCTTCATTTTTCTCCACAGAACCCATTAATTTGTATCATGTCATCATGGTTATTTAATCTAATTTATTCCAAAAAAAATCTGCATAATGCAGGGAAAAATTGAACATCCACAGGACATACTAAATCAAAGGTATTCTGCATGATTAATTTTGCATCTTTATAGATATATTGGGGCTATGTTCTCAAGAGCATGACTGCTCTTGTCAACACAGCTGATAATATGGAAAGCTGTCATCCCCAAATTTATTGCTGCTTCAAGCATATCTATGACTGCAAAAGTAGTCAATTTTTAGAATGACATTGTGTTACAAAAATAGTAGTAGAATAAAATGCCTCACCGAAACTTAATGATCTTGGTGCCACTTCATTTTGAAAAGAATATCCTACACCAATGGTAAACCAATGATATGGTCTCAATGATATATCAGAAATTTGCAATTGTAGGCCTCGCCCTCATTTATAAACTTGCAAAATTAACCATGCAGAATAGCTTTGATTTAGTATGTTCTGTGCAGAAAATGTACATATAGTCAAAGTATGATTGGATGCATAACAAATGTATTTTTTTAGAGATTGCAATACCAATGTAGGCCCTAGTTTCAGCTAATTTCATAACACTCCGTATAATCAACCATGAAGACAATTTGTTTTTATGAGTTTTGTGGAGGAGAATATAACTACATGTTGCTGCATTTTTAAGAGTTAAATTTCGAATGCAAATGCAATATGTACCATAAAAATGTGTAAAGTTTGCATGAATTAGCCTTTTTGGGGTGCTTCACTGCTATTTATCAATTTTCATGCCACCCATCTGAAAATTCATGCTTTTGATAAATGTGGCTCACGTGCAAAATTCTGCGCTTTTGTAAATTCTGTTCCCCCAATTAGTTTAGCAGACCTGGCTCCTCATTATTTCTCATGGTTTCTCATTCTTTGTTTTCATTGTTGAACAAGAATGACTAACAGATTTGCATGTTCATTAACATTTGAATGGCTAGTTGCTCCAATTTTTTTTGCAATTTTGTTAATTAGACCTTAAAAAGTTAAGTGAATGTGCCTATTCAAGCTTGAAATGTCACAACTTGATCTCAGTTAATTGATGTTGGTAAATAATATTTTTTTTCTTTAATTTGATATAGTTTTGTTATGTTTTATTTGTTGGTTTCAACAATAGAGTGGCCACTTTTTTTTGCCGAGTGCACACCTGTATATTGGTTGAAATACATGTGCAGGTATTGTCTTTTGCATTGTAGAACTATATAAAAACCTATACAAACTTTAGAGTAGTAAAACATATTATCATTATCGAAAGATTGCTTGTGATAAAATACTGCATACAGGGGGAGATATATATATATATTGGCTGGTCCAGTACATTTTAAAAATTCATAAATGTTTAGTGTTTGCTTGATGGGATGAAATACAGAGGTTCATAATTAAAGATAAAGGTGAGTTCTGGTCTTCCGATTGCATTGTTAAAGAAATGTGTTGAATGGATCAGAAAAAGTTGATCATGTGGCATGTAAGTATTGGTGTGTACTGCAAAGTTCTGGAGTCATCAAAATCATAATAAATTTGGCCTAGTCTTGGTAAAGTAACAAGCGCTGTACACAGAAAGGTGTATATGGGACTACACAAATGGTGTCTGGGCTACTAACCTTGATTTCCTTATCTTTCTATGCTCATTAATCAGCCAGTATACATTTTCTACGAAAATTGTTTGGCAATTGACATTTATTTGTAATCTTGAACATTCAGTGTAAGTTTCGTTTGAGTCTGTGAGAATTCTTATTTTTTTAACCACAACTCACCTTTATCTTTAAGTTGGTACTCTAGATTTTCATCTATAAAATATACTTTTGTTTTCAAGATTTTATGAGTCCCCCTTGTTTTTCTACATGTGTAGAATTCAGATGTATTTCCTCCAAGGAAAGTAATATGATACTGCTAAAATAACATTTCTAGTATATGAGATTCCATGTTTGTTGTGCACTTGAATACATGTACCGTATATGGTGTACGGTAGTGAGAATACAATAAATGTACACACTTTGAAAATATTCTCCAAAATTATTATGTCAAGATATCTGCATAATTTTTTTTTGTTATGAAATAGTAGGTGAGAATCGATAATTATTTTGAACCATCAGTTGATCTTTGACCTTTAGTACATTACAGTTGTGCACCCCTACCTTCTCCACACACACCCTCACTCACTCAAGTGTGCACACATACCCACATAACATTGGCAGATTATTGTCTTTTCAGCACTACATTTCCATTCTTTAGAATTTTGAGGAAATGTAATGCTTGAGAGAATGTGTGTGTGTGTGTGTGTGTGGCAGAAGGTAGGGGTGCACAACTGTGATGTATTAAAGGTCAAAGATCAGCTATTGGTTCAAATTAATTATTGATAATTAACAGAGCAATTGCAATTGATGCCTGATTTGTGCTTTGTTCCAATTCGAGACTGGAATATTTATGCACTAACCTGTTTTCATGAGGGTTTTTTTTAATTAACCAGTGCATGCTTAAAAATAAAGACCAGTTATGGTCATGCGATTGCATTTTGAAAGAAACGTTGTGGAATCGATCAGAAAAGGTTGGTCATCTAGCATATACACTGTTGGTCATAATGGTGGAATATTTATTTTTACCCCAGTTTAGGGAAGGATTTTTAAAAATTATTTATTTCTAATAGATCTAGATAATGGCATAGATTCTCAGATTTTATTGAATATTAATTTGCGAATGTTTGTTTTGCGTGACTGCTTAATCATATCTGTGCTACTATGCTAATCAGCTAAGGGACCTACGTCCTTAAGTCATAATTGACAGTAATGAGGATTAATGCCTCACAAAAGGGCACTAATATATAGCTGATCCACACGATTTTTATCCTGAGGCTTCACAGTAACAAGGCCATTGCTTAGCCCCTGAATCATGACTGTACGTAGTGTTTGCTAGGGTACGTGGCCCCTTCCACAAATCCCCCAAAACGAAGAAAATGCAATAAATTGTCAAAAGTTCATTGCTTTTTCCCCCGGCCCCCAACAGGAAAAATTCGTCTGTAGGGCCATGCATTATGGTTCAAGGCATGGCCATACAGAGGAATTTTTCCTGTTGGGGGCCGGGGGAAATGCATTGAATTTTTGAAAATTTATTGCATTTT